CTACCATCTCCCCCGAGTCCACTTTCACCCCTGTGGTCACCGCCGTTACCAGGGACTTTCCTACTCTCACCTCCACCTCCGCCTTATTCTCAGCTCTTTCCACCCCTGTGACTTCCACATCCTCCTCCCCAGAGCTCAGTGCCTGCCATTGAACCTGGGACTTGGGCAAGGAGCCGAGTCAGAGAACATTCCCTTGCTGGACAGACATGCCTCCTAGGTTTCTCAGAGACCATCAGCAAGCCAGGTGTCAGAAAAACCCCTCCTCTTGACCTTTCCTCAAGATACGTTTGACAGGGGACAGCTCAGTCCTCCTTATTAGCCATGCCTATACCTAAAATGACAGCTGCTGTCTGATTGAGGATCGAGGCCATTAATCCAGGGCTGCCCTTGTTTGCATAATGATTGCATATATTTGCATGCTATTTGCTCCCAGCTTCTGAGTGCTGCACTGTGGATGTTCAGGTGCCATTTGCATGTCACTTCAGGTGCGGGCCTGGCCTTTGAGACTTGAGCACTTATTAATTCCCTCAAGACATTCTTTTTTGTGCTGGTTCAGAAAAGAGCTTGGAACGTTTAGTTCTAGAGTCATTCAGATAAAAACTCAAGGTGGGGAGGTCCAGTTAAGAGCCAGTGGGGAGAGAGCAGCCTGAAGCTTTGGTATGGTCCAGGGTGGAACCAGCGGTGGGAGGTTGGTTGCAATGATGAGCTCTAATCCTCAGTATCCGTTCAGAATAGTGCTCTGCACAGCCCCTTCTGTCCTCTCCAGCCCATAGTCCTTTTGCTGTGTGACCCTGGGCAAGACCTGCCCATCCTGAACCACTAATCCCCCTCCATCAGGTGCCTGCTTTGGGTGCAAAGGTTCTCATCCCTGACTGCACGTTGGAATCACCTGGGGAGGCTTTTTTCCTTTTTCTTTTTTAAAGACTTTATTTATTTTTAGAGAGAGAGGAAAGGAGAGAGAAAGAGAGGAAGAGAAACATTAGTGTATGGTTGCTTCTCATGCGCCCCCCTACTGAGGACCTGGCACTCAATCCACTAAGCCACACTGGCCAGGATACCTGGGGAACTTTTAAAAGTACCAGTGCCCTGCCCTGACCAATGTGGCTCAGTTAGTTGGGCCTCCTCCTGCAAAGCGAAAGGTCACTGGTTCCATTCCCAGTCAGGGAACATACCTTGGTTGCAGGTTTGGTTGCCCACTGGGGCACGTGTGAGAGGCAACCGATGGATGTTTCTTTCTCTCTCTTTCTCCCTCCCTTCTCCTCTCTCTAAAAAATATAAATAAGTAAAATCTTAAAAAATAGTTAAAAATAAAAGTGCCAGTACCCTGGCCCACCCAGAGATTATTTCATTGGTGGGCCTTGGGCCTAGGTTATTTTCTAAAAGCTCTGAGGTGATTCTAATGTGCATCTGAGATTAAAAAGCTACTGCTGTGGCTCTGTCCTCCCACCCTGATGCCACCTCCCTCATCTTCTCAGCCCGGTAGGTTCACCGAGCCCCAGGGGCTGGCAGGATAGTTTGGACACTAGTGCTTTTGGTGAGGTCTGAGAAAGAAATCCTTTCTTCTCTTGGGCCTTGTGGCTGATGGCCCACGTGTGGAGGCACAGCACTTGCCATTAATGGGGAGTTTCCCTGTCTCTGCCTTGATCTCACGCCGTCCCACCCCCCTGCCTGGCTGCCTGAGGATGAGTGCAGGGCCTGCCGCCTTTGTCCCTCTCTGAGTCTAGAATGTAGACTCTGGGGCCCGGAGGTCTTTGATCTTTATTCGTGCCACCTCTGTGAAGCTGTTAGTGGATAGAAGGTCACTACCCTGGGCCCAGGAACAAAGAGTGAGCCTGGTGTCATTCAAGGTGGCCAGAGAAGAGGGAATAAGTGACCTCCAGGGAAGAGGCTTGGAACAAGAGTGAAAGTGGGGTGAGGTCATGGAAGGGATACCGCCTACCCGAGCTTTTATATCAGGCTCAGGACCAAGATTTGGAAAGCTTGGATAAGGCCTGGGTGCTTACCCTGGGTGCATTTTCTTTACTTCTACTCTCACATCCATGATGACTCATTTAAAAATATTATATTGGAAGTGTATTAGGTACTTGTTTTTCCAGAATGAATTTATCACTGTTTTCATCTCCACCGTGACTGCCATCACCACCAACACCATCATCAATATCAATTGATGTTGATACAGAGATGGCCAGTGTGGACACTCAGTACGTTTTTGATGACTGAACAAAGCACCTGCACCATCTTCATTGCCAATATTGCCAGAATCGATACCACATCTCTGCCCCTGGCACTACCCCTGCCATCACCTTCATCGCTACCTCCACTGTCAGCACGCACATCACACCTCTGCCGCAACCCTGTGGCACCACTGACCACACCGCCCGCGGACACCATCATCACTGCCGCCCCAGTTGCTTCTAAAACCATCACATCGCATCTCACCTCTGCCGCCAGCCCTACCATGTCATCGACACTAACGTCACCGATAACCCCTGACCTCACTGATGTCCCCAGTGTCACCACCAAAACTTCCATTGCCATCTCTGCTGCCAGCGCTACGCCATTGCTGCCGTCCCTATTATTATTGCTGCCACCACCAGCACCGCCATTGACATTGCTGCTATTGTCCTCCTCGATGTCGCTACCACAGTCATCCACTGCCGTCCTTATTGACATCACAGCACCTCCCGTCCACCATCGTCATCACCGCTGCCACCACCAATGTCACTGCCACCACCACCAATTGCTATCTTCTTTCCTGGAGCCACGTTTCTGTCCTTCGGAGCACACGTGCTTCAAGGGGATTACCTGGTCCCTGCTCAACTCTAAGTGTCATGGGAACAGGGACCGTGTCTCTTTTCCCCACTGGTGAGTTCTCAGTGCCTGGAGGGCAGGCAGTTCACAGTAAGGACTCAATCATGTGCGCTGAATTAACACGTTACTTATACCAACATAGCCCCTACATTAAAGGGAACTTAGGCTCTAGGATTTCAGTGCTCCCATAATTCTATCTCTTGACTGGACCTAGAGACATAGCACTGGGTAGTTCAAGTAATAAACAAACAAGGAGAAGCCTGTGCTGGCTCTGTAATGTGCTCAGCAGCACGGTGGGCAGGTTGTGACCTACAGTCCTTGGCTAAGAGTGCTGCAGATGAGCTCAGAGAAGTCTGGCTCTTCTAAGATCGTTATGTTCATCACTACATCACCTGGAATTTATCTGAATCTGGATCATTTCTGTGTCAAGACTAATCTAGTTCATTTACAGACCAACAGAGGTTTTCAAATGTGCTTCTAGTAGGACATAGGTTCCTTGGAGCTACCATAGGGGATGATGTGAGGTTTGAGGAGGCATCTGATGCGGATCCCAGAGAAGAAGGCTCTAGGATCTCCACCCCAGCTTCAACCACTGGGCTTCTGGGAAAGATTGTGTTACAATTGGGCACCAGTGACTTTAGTTCACAGGCCAAAGCTCAGTCCACTTAGCCACACAAGCCACCGGGTGCACCAGTGATTTTAAAAACAGGTTTGAAAACCATTGACCTAGTAGGCAAGTGCTTGCCCTTTTTAGTTTTGGAAGAGATGTTCAGCACTGTGTGTATGTCCCAACCAAAAACCACAGGCCAACTAATGCCACCAAGCCAAAAGAAGCACTAGAAAATGGATATCTTTGTTTTTGGAGCACTGTATTCCATGTAGGAATCCTTATTTAAGTCAACTGTCTTGGAAACATCAACCTAAGTGGAAGTGTAGTACATGAATCTGTCCAGTGAATGCTGGCTCTTTAGCCAGGCAGAAAAAACCCAGGTTGGGGGACAGGCCCTACTCTTCAGCAGAGGCACAACATCCAAAAGACTCAGAGCCAGTCATGGATGGGAGATTTTCACCTGACGGGAACGAGACCAGACATAACTGACGACATTGTGCCTTTTGAGTGATGGTCACTCAGTGACCTCTGGTCACAGTGACAGGATGGGAATAGAAGGGTTGGGGCTGTTGGCTGAAAAGTGGGAGGGATGATTATGCCTCAGCCCCCAAGGGCCAGGGTTCACAACAAAACCAACAGGTCCCTCCTGCTTATCTATCAGCCCCTCTGTGTGTGTGTGTGTGTGTGTGTGTGTGTGTGTGTGTGTGTATGGACCGGTGCACACACTTGCTGAACAGGTGTCGGGGCACTGGCCAGCCCAGCCCCTTCTGGCCAATCTTTGTGTCTGCCCTCAGGTACGCCTCAGAGCATGGACAGGCTGGGCAGGGGCTCGGGGCTGCCGCCTAGCCTGGGAAGAGCGCTGGCCTGAGCCTCCGCCCCAGGGAGAGACTGAACTGCCCTAACCAGGGAAAGGATGGCATTCTCTGGACAGACTGAGCAAGGCTGAAAAAGATAGCTCAGTTTGAGATGACATGTGCAGCCTGAGCAATGAAGGGGCAATAGTGAGGGAGGCTTTGAAACCAGGAGTGGAATTACCTGCTACCCAGAGATGTGGGCTGTAGCCTTCCTCAGGCTGCGGGGCACGCTCTGGAGAAAAAACTTAATGTGTGATGGCTGTGTTGGGGGTAAAGGGAGGAACAGGTGTACCAACCCCTGGGGTCAGACCCTCTCTCAGGACTGAGTCTAGTGGATTGAGCAAGCCTGTCAGACCATTCAATTCTGTCTTCCACAAGAGCTGGGAAGGCTGCCAGGGTAGGTTATACCCTTAACTATTTGCTTCGTGGTGCAGAAGCACCACTGCCTTGGAACCCTCAGTGACAGAACAGATGCGCACACCCTCTTCCCAGCATTTATTCCTCTCCCCCACCGGACCTTTCTTCTTATTGGACAATCCTGTCTCTGCCTTCAGTGCCCCTGGGACACACTGCCGCCACAAACTATGACTCCAGAAGGCTGTTTGTATTGCAGCTGTATTCGTTATGCCCTCACCCTAATGCCCCAGTGGGCTTGATCCTGACCTCACAGCTGAAGCACCACCTTTGTCTTGTCAACCGAGGGCATCTGTCCATTGTGAATGTCCTCAGAGAAAGAAATCCTTTAATGGCTGAGGAACCTGGGAAGATGAGGGCCCGGCTGGTTAAGGGAGACAGACATTTGTCCGCTGCTCTCATTCCTCAGTTCATCCAGCCAGTGACATTCTTCCGAGTCCATGGGTGTTCAGCTCTGTGCCCAGACCCACTGGGATGGACACAGGGAATGGCGGATGAGGGCTGAGTGTTCAGGAAGTGCAGTCTGCTTGAGGAGGTGTGAGTTACATGTGCAAATAGCAGAGAGACCACAGAGAGAGCCCCTGTGGGGTGGTGGCAGAGAATGTGGCACACTTGTCTCTGAAGCTGGACAAGCCTGCCATGTGCTGGGCTTGGGAGATCAGGGAAGTCTTCTTGGAATGGGAAGAGGAGAAGGACAAATAATTGGGGCAACTTACATCCTTCTGAATGAGCTCCGCATAAACCAAGCAGGCGGAGGAGATCAGCTCGTCAGCATCAAGGTCAATCAGGTTGTTGCAGGCCTGTTGCAGGCAGAAGGCAGAGGAGGCAGGGCACAGGCTGAGCAAACAGAACCATGGCTCAAGGCTGTCGCGGGGATCCTTGGTCTTTTCCCAACCCCCTGGTACAGTGCCTGAAATGCCCACACTGGAATTTTATATTTTGGGGAGATGGTAAGTTTTTTCTTTTTTTAAGAGGATTATTTTATTCTCATTTGAGGACATGGTCATTGATTTTTAGAGAGAAGGGAAGGGGGGAGACAGAAACACCAATGTGAGAGAGAAACATTGATCAATTGCCTCCCATATGTACCCTGTCTGGGGACCAGGAATGGAACTGGCGACTTCCAATGTATGGGATGCTGCTGCAACCAGCTGAACTACACAGCCAAGGTGGTAACTAGTTTTTATGCTGGGCTCTAAGGGAGTTCTGGGGTTCCACTGAGGGTCTCAGGGGCTTCCAATGAGGACTTGTTTTTATAATTGTGGTGTCACCTGAGACGTTTTTGAATAATGGCTTCAACTGCTGTTTAGAAATTTTTGAAAACTTTAGGTCTTTTGCCAGAGGAGGACACTAGGGCCAAGGGATTAGCTGTGAGACAGTCAAGCCTGGTGGTTAAGAATCATTCAAGGCCTCAGTTTCCTCATATGCTAATAGCTGTGAAGATGGTGATGGTCATTGCTGGCTTGAGTCAGGCTTGTTTTGAAGCTTAAATGAGCTCATCTACAAAGTACTCTGCATGGTGCTCATGCTTCCTGCCCAGGGGCAACGATGGTCCCAAAGTCCAGGAACCCACAAGCCTGGGGCCTTCAGCTGGGATGTTGTGGGGGGTTGTGATCCCCAGGAGCCATGGGACTGGGGTTGGCCAAAGGGTGCTCTCACCAGGAGGATGTCATCGCCGGCCATGCCCTCCCGCAGGACCTGCTCACGCACCATCTGCAGCAAGCTGTAGGCCACTAGCACCTGGAAGTTTCTGCAGGGCTTCCCAGTCAGTAGAACCTGCATGGTGGGTGAGTCTTGGCGTGCGCCTTGTGGCCTGAGGCTGCAATGCCCTTAAAATGGCGAGGTACCCACCAACCATGTGCCCTGGGTCAGACATTCCTGGGCTTCGCTGCTGACTCGCTCAATCACTCACTCAGGCAAGAGCTCATAGCTATGTCTGGGATTCTAGGCATTGTGCTAGCTACTGGGGGAGTCAGGGGAAAAGCCTTCAGGAATTCATTAGACAGAGGGAAGAGGAAGAGGGAGAATGAGAGAGGTGAAAGAGAGAAGGAGGGAGGGAAGAAGGAGAGTGGGGAGAGGGAGGAGGAGGGGAGAGGGAGGGAAGGAGAGGTCAGAGAACAACCAGGTAACCATGCATAACATCTGAGTGGAGCTTCAGCAAAGCAACCATTGATGTCAACAATATAGGGGAGTCACCAAAGTCCTGGGGGTCATCGTGGACTTGGGCATGGAGACCCACAGGTCAGGAGGGAGGGGTAAGGCTGGAGTGACTCATAGGGCTGAACATTCCAGGCTGAATGCTGGGCTGGGTCCTACATGCAGTGGAGGTCCCTGGACAGGGCAGAGATGAGTGGTGGGTGTGTTCATAGGGAGGTTCATCTGCTGATGGCCCTGGGAGCTGGGGTCAAAGGACTGCAGGGGCAACCTGTCTGTGGGAGCCCCACCTTCTCCAGGAGTGAGGGCTCAGCAGAGCACCCAGGTGGAGGGGAAGGCCAAGGACAGGGGAGCTGAGGAAATGAAACAGAGTGAGGACACTGGGTGTGGGGCAGGGAAGCTGAACTACAGGCCAAGTGTCCATGGCCCAGGCCACAAGGCCCCTTCCTCTGCCCTGATGGCCCTGAGAAGACGAGGATGGTGGGACTGCAAGAACAGATGGGTGACTGGTGCTCCAGCTCCTCCATCAAGGCAGGCTCGCTGGTCTGAGTCACACTGAGCATCTGGACTCCAACCAAAGGGCTCTCCTGCTGCCTGCCCAAGGGCTAGGACCTATCCCTTCGGTCCCCAGCAGAGCACCTACCTCCCAAAGCCTCCAGACATCGTCGAAGGACTTGAAAGCACGCTGGAAGCAGAGGCAGAACCAGGGGAAGAGGGACTGCACAGCCCCCGCGCCCTTTCCTTCTATGGGGAAAGAATCAGGGTGCCAGCCCCAAGGCCATGGTCAGGGAAAACAGGGGACAACACATACAACAAAGCAAAAGCAGATGGACAAACAGCAGAGCACACAGACACACTTGAGCAATACAGAATGCCCAGCTATCACGTTTCCAGCTGCCCTTGGAGATGGTTTGTGGTGGTTTGTGGCACAGACTCCAACCCCAGGGTCTGGAGAGAAGACCAAATGACCCTGCTCCCTCCCCTGTGATTGGACACAGTGTGCTTCCTGGGGTGGGGTCTGGGTCCTGGTCCCCTCCCATGTCTGTCCTGGGCAGAAGTGTGTATGGTGGCAGGAGGTGTCCACTCACTTAGGTGCTCAGCAAACACAGGGTCCAGGAAGTTGATCAGGTTGTTGAGCATGTCTAGGTTCTTGCCCACCCCGATGTTGATGACACAGCTGTGCTCCTGCAAAAGATGGGTGGGAGCAGGGGAAACTGAATCTTCTGGGCTTCTAGGCACCAGAAAAGCCAGCTGCTTTGCCAGCTCCCCAGTCCTGGAGACCCTCTGTGTGTCTAGCTCCAGGCTGGGACCATGTGTCCGTGTAAGTTTGGGTGTCTGTGTATGTGTGCGCACCCACGCACACATCATGTCTGTATCTGTTGTGATGTGTATGCAAGTGCATTCACTTGTATATATGTGCGCACCTGTGTGTGCCTGTGATGGGGATGCTGAGGTGTTTCAGGTATGGCTCACAATGCAGTGAGCCCAGTTATTCCTCCATACACATGTGGGTCAGAATCAGAACAAGGAAAGCACAGTGAGCACACTGTTGCCCAGATGGAGAAAGGGGTGAGGGTGCATTCTGGGAAGCCTCTCACAGATCATGAGGAAAGTCTTTCCAGGGAGGGTGTTCCAGGGAGCAGCAATTTCAAAAGCTTTTGGCCTGGACAGTGTGGTGTGCATCTGGGTGTCCGACTCCGCCCGTGTGCCTGGAGTGCTGGTCATGCGAAGGAGGCAGTGAGAGAGCAGACTGGTGATGGGGGGCTTGAAGGCCTGCCTGAGGTCAGTGGATTTCATTCTGAAGGTGTGGGGAACCATAGAGTATTTGTGGGAGCAGAGCATGTTTTGGGAGAGGAATGCCAGAAGTGGGTGTCATCACTGGGCCTGGTCAGTCACACTCTTTCAAGGTTTGGTAAGAGCTGTACCCAGAGCATCACTCCACCTCCCCCTCAACTCCAGTGCTTGCCACTCCCACCCTAGAACACACCGCACTTGCTCTCCCAGGCTCCTCTGGGACCCAAAGAGCTGTTTCAGGGTAAGAGGAAGTGCTGGGGTTGCCAATGCTGCTTAACCCTAAAGGGTTGTTTAGAGAGCTGGCTGCGGGGTTGGGGGGTAGTTGTTCCTTGAGTTCAGACCCAAATCTCACCATCTTCTGCAGGAAGAACTGGAAAAGCCAGAAGGTCTCATGGTCATGTTCCACCATCAACTGGAATAGCATCACCATCTCGTGGAAGCCTTGTTGGTACTCTGGGGTGGAGAGGGGCCAGTGAGGAAAGGCTGGGTTGGAGGGGTGGAGCCTGCGCTTGGGCAAGGAAAGAATTCCAGAATGGAATTGAGGAGGGGAGCTAAGGGGAATCTTGGCGCTGTGGCGTACCTGCCTGGGTGTTGCAGACATAACTCAAGAGCAGGATCTTCTCCAGTCTCTTCTTGTCAATAAGGATGTTACCCAGGGGGTCTTTGTCATAGAGTTTCTGGACGTCATATGCTAGGTTGGGAGCAAGGGACAGGTGGGTAGCACCAGATCACCTCCAGCAGAAGGTCCATGGATGAGTTTATTTCCCCCAACCAACCCAGAGCATCCTGGGGAGGAAGCTGTAAAGGGAACATCACCTCCCACCCCAGGCTCTATCTCTCACCACACCCTGAGCTGCTTGGGTTTCTTTTCAATTCCAAATCTTTGACCAGGTTGTACCCTCATCCAATTGAAATGCAGCCTAGTTCAAGACCACTAGGATACTGGGTGGTGGCGGGGGAAGTGATGAAGACTAATCAATAGGAATAGCATGCACCCACAGGAACATGATGCTGGGCATTGAGGAACACCCAGGTCCATGTCAAGGCAGCACCCAGGAACTGGAAACCACCTCCACAAGACTGAGGAGGGGTCAAGGATGGCTTCCAGCCATACCCTCTGGGCAGCCCTGCCCACCCTACTCTGCTCACTGATGTTATTCCGAGTCTCTATGAAGTTCCGGTGCAGGTTTTCCAGAAGAGGCTGAATCTTCTCATACATCTGGCATAAGGCCTCGTAGTTCTTCCTATGAGAACAGGACTGAGGCTAAACGAGGCAGCCTCTCCTCCCAGCAAGTCCAGGGTCCCTGTCTGGGCTCTGCCCACTGTCTGGGGTCCTCCTGCCCCGCACCCCACCCCTCTGCCCGTGCCAGCTCCTGAACATCTTCTACTGTGCACCCAGAGATTAACTATGTGGTTCTGCACTTCCACGGCCACACCTGGATCTGGTTTCACAATCTAATAACTGGGGGTCTGCAACTAGGGTCAAGCTTTGGTGACCTCATTTTCCATAAGCCTCAGTTTCCTCATCTGTAGAACAGGATAGCACTAGCACCTCTGCCTCAGAATGACAAGCATTGGATGAAGGGTGTTTTGTGCTCATCAGTACAATGAGCTGGTGGTGCAGTAGGCCGAAAGACCCCCAAAAGATATGTCTATGTCCTAACCTTTATAAAGTGTAAATGTAACCTTACTTGGAAAAAGGGTCTTTGTAGGTAAAATTCAGTTATATCTTAATATAATTAAGTTCTATCTTAATGATGAGATCATTCCTGATTATCTAGTTGGGCCCTAAATCTGATGACAAGTGTCCTTACAAGAGACCCACAGAGGAGAGAGATACAGGGAGAAGAGGAGAAGGCCATGTGACAGTGGAGACAGAGACTGCAGTGATGCAGCCATACACCAAGGACAGGTGGAGCCCCCAGAACCTCCAAGAGGCAAGGAAGAGTTCTCCTGTAGAGCCGTTGGAGAAGGAGCGGCCCTTCCAACTGCTTGGTTTTGGGCTTCTGGCCTCCAGAACTGAGAGAATACACTTCTACTGCGGTCCCGCCCCTGCTTTGTGGTGCCTTGTTAAAGCAGCCTCAGGAAACCAACACAGGTAGGCTCCTGTTGGACTCTCAGGACTCCCCAGCTGGCCCTCAGTTCCCCTACTGCCCTGGGTGTTTCTCTGGCTCACCCTGTGTGTCAATGCTGTGCGCCTCCAGGAGGCTGCACAGGTCCCGGGGAAGGAGGAGACAGGTCTTGGGAGATAAGGAGATTTGCTGGGGTCAAGCCTGTGTTACAGCCTGTGGGTTGGTCAGTGGAGCTGGGTTTGGGGTGGGAAGGCCCCTCCTGTGTGTGGGGATTTGGATGCTCAGAATGAGAAGTGCTTTTGAAGTATGACTGAAACTGCCAGGCTGGGGTGAGCACCACTCTCCTCTGCACAGCTACCCACCCTCTCCTGACAGAATCTGGAATGTTCTACCTCCTTGTGCTGTCCACTGTGAGCCGCTCATCCAGGGAGCTCTGCCAGGAGTAGTAGCCTGTGAGGAACTTCCAGGCTTCCATCCTCACGAAGGGGTGTAAGCCCTGGGGTCCGGTGGGAGGTGATAAGTCATGGATTCTCTCAAGTTGCTTGACAAAAGGGTCCCTCCCAATGTCACCACCCCCTGCCTACCCATGCCCCCTAATTCCAGGGGAAGGCCAATGGTAGCTTGGGGACCATACCCTTTCCAGGATGTCAACACAAATGAAGTCTCGTGACTTGGCCAACTGACCATTCTCATCAAAGAAGCCATCCCACTCTGTCTTGTCAATGGGTGGTTTCCTCTTCACCTGGTGAGGGAAAACAAGCATGTCAGCCCTCTGTGACGGACCATGGCTTTTCTTTTCGGTGTTATTTTTAAACCACGTACTCTGGATTTTGCGATGTGAATCTAAACTCACAGTCTCTGACTCACTTGTGGAAATTTATCCCGAGAAAATTACTGAAAATATACAGAAAAAGGCTGTATGCACAATAATTTTCATTGCATACTACTTAACAAAATGAAAAGTGCAAGTGCTCTAAATGTTAGGCAATGAAGGAATAGTTAGGTTAAGCATGGTTTATATACTCAATGAAGTATTATGAGGTCATATAAAATGATGCTTATGAGGAGTGAATAATAATCTGGAAGAATATAAATGTTAACAGAAAAAAGCAGAAAATAAAATTGCACATTCAGTATCTATTCTCTTTATGTACTATCTTCCATAAAGTTCTGTTATATATTCTAAAACTACACCTCATATACTTGAATACATAGTGAATTAACCGCTATAAAAATTCTGTTAGAAAGACAACTAGAAAATACTAAAAAACTTACCTAAAAACAACAGTGATGATTTCTGAATGATAGGATTGTTATTTTTCCCTTTTTTATTATACTTTCAAACTTCTATAATGATGTATGCTGCTTGGATAATAAAAAAATACATAAAATAAGCACTAATTAAACACACTCATGAGCTTCGTTTTACCTTTCCTGGAAGAGTGGCACTGGTCATCAAGAGGAATGGCCTCTGGTTTCCATAAGGTGAGTGTGTGTGTCTGGTGGGAGGTGAGCACTCTGCATACAAAGTAATTAAAAATGCTCATAAAACAATAACACCAAGTTTGAGTTCTTATTGAAACAACCTCCCATTAATATGCACCTGAATATGCACATTTAATGTGTGACTCAAATTTAAATTTGTAAATGAGTCACCTGAGAATCTGCTTAAAATGCAGACTATGACTCAGAAGGTCTAGGGTGGGCCCATGATGATGCATTTCTAACATGCTCCCAGGTGACTGCTGAGCTGCTAGCCCACTGCCAGCGAGTAGCAAGGTATTAAATGGTACAAGAGTACTGGAAAGGAAAAACAAGAGCCTACAGGCTCAAATTTGGGATAATTTCCACTGACTCCATGTTTGATAGGGATAAATGCGCAATACATATTAAAGTGTATTTTCTAAAACCTTTCATGTTTTAAGAAAACCGTGTTTCACCTTTCATTTTGCAACACGGAACCAACTTCTCTTACATTCCTAATGAATGGTCAACGCAGTCATCTCAAAGAAACACTGGTGGTAAACTGTAGAATCCATGATCCTTCAGAATAGTACAAGTCAAGTCACCAAACAGGACAGCCTCCAAATTTCCCTTGAGTGGCTCTTCCTGAAAGCCCCAGTCGAAATCTCCCTTCCTGTGGTCACCATGGCCCGGCACCTTGAGCTTGCCCTTCCTTCTGCCTTCTGTCTCATGTTCCACAGTGCTTGGAAGATGATGCAGAGAGGGGTTTAGAACTTGTTTCTGCTACTGAGCGCACTAGACCGAGAAGCCCTCCTCAGCCCCCATGCCGGCAGCATCCAGCTCTGGTACCTGTGCTCTTTAGAGCTGCGGCAGTGACCCCCACAGTGATGGTTTATTTGCTCTATTTCCCATTCGTCCTTTGGAAACTTTCCCTTTGGTGATCAGTTCCCCCGGGGCTGGCCTACTCTCTCTTCTCTGCGAATTTTTTATATTCTGAACCAAAATAGAATATATGGGCCCAAGAAGATAGAAAAAAATCTCAGTGTTGGCTTAACCTTGGGAAGCAGGATCTGCCCTGATGCCACGCCCCTCTGGTACAGACACTGTCACCTGAGCCAGTCAGAGCCAGGCTCCTGCCCCTCTGACAGCTGTCATGTTCTCACAACCTGTACTCAGAGACTGCAACTGCACGTGCACTGCAGCAGGGCTGGACAGAGGAGGCCATAGACTAGGGTGGGCTGTGCCCGGGTTCCTAACCATAAAAGGAGCTTTTTTAGTCAGTTAATTTGTATAACAAAGACAGCTGTGTTTTGATGGGGATTGATTGAATCTATAGATTGACGTATGGAGAATTGATAACACTGTTGAGTCTTCTGACCCATGAACACCGAATATTTCTCCATTTATTTAGGTCTTCTTTATGCTTCCCTCAGCAATGTCTTGCAGTTTTCAGTGTATAGGTTATTTATATATTTGGTTAGATTTATCCCCAAATAGTTCTTTTTGGGGGATGCTCTTGTAAAAGTTATTTTAAAAATTTCAACCTTGAATTCTTCATTGCTAGTGTATAGAAATACAATAGATTTTTGTATATTGATCTCGTATCCTGAAATCTTGCTAACTTTACTTACTAGTTTTAGTAGGTTTTTATTTGCTAGGTTCTGTGGGACTTATTATATAGGCCAAGGATACAGCCTCATGGGCCAAATCTGCCTCCAACTTGCTTTTAGATTAAGTTTTACTGACACATAGCCATGCCCACGCATTATCTAAGGCTGCTTTCATGCTGCAATGGCAGAGTTAAGTAGTTGCAACAAAAAACATAAACATTAAAATATTTACTACTTGACATTGAAAAAGTTTGCCAACACTGACATAGATGATCATGTTGTCTGTGAACAAAGGCAGTTTAACTTCTTACTTTCCAGGCTGGGTGCCTTTATTTCTTTTTCTTGCCTTATGCACTGGCTAAAACCTCAACTGCAATGTTTAATAAAAATGGTGAAAGCTGACATTTTTGTTCTGTTCCCAATCTTAGCAAAAAAGCATCAAGCTTTTGTGATCCATTATGATGTTAACTGTAAGCTTTTTGTAGTTGCCCTTTATCAGACTGAGAAAGTTCCCTTCTACCTAGTTTGCTGAGAATATTTTTCAGGAATGTGTTTTATTTTTTCAAAGGATGTTCTGCTTTTATGGAGATGGGATAAATTCCATTTGTTGATCATATATTATTTTTCTTTTATGCCATTGGATACTCTATGCTAAAATTTTATTTAGAATTTTTACATTCATGTTCATGAACAACATTGGCCTATAATTTTCTTGTAATGTCTTGGATTGTAGTGTTAGGGTAATGTTGACCTCATAGAATGAGTAGGATTGCATTTGTGCTTTTCAATTTTTTGAAGAGTTTTTGTAGACTTGTTAATATTTGTTCCTCAGTGTTTGATACCATTCACCAGTAAAGCTATATAGGCCTGAAGTTTTCTTTGTGGGAATTTTTTTTTTCTCTTCTAGATAGTGATTTTATTTTTTTCAGATATATACCCAGAGGAGAGATTGCTGGATAATGTGGTAGTTCTGGTTTTAATTTTCTTAAATTCTATTGTATTGATTATACTATTACAGTTGTTCTGACTTTCTCCCCTTTGCCCCCTCTAACCAGCACCCCGGATTCCCTCAAGCAATCAATCCCCCCACCATTGTTCATGTCCATGGATTTTGCATGTAAGTTAATTGGCTACTCCATTTCCTATACTGTAGTTTACATACCTATGGCTTTTCTGTAACTACCTATTTGTACTTATTAATCCACTCATCTCTTCACACATTCCCCCACACACTGTTCCCATCTGGCAACCATCAAAATGCTCTCTGTATCCATGATTCTGTCTCTCTTCTTGTTTGCATAGTTTGTTTTTTAGATTCAATTGTTGATAGATATGTATTTTTTTGCCATTTTACTGGTCATAGTTTTGATCTTCTTTTTCTTATATAAGTGCCTTTGACATTTCATATAATACTGGCTTGGTGATGATGGATTCCTTTAGTTTTTTCTTGTCTGGGAAGCACTTTACCTGCCCTTCCATTCTAAATGATAGCTTTGCTGGGTAGAGCAATCTTGGCTATAGGTCCTTGCTTTTCATGACTTTGAATATTTCTTGCCAGCCCCTTCTAGCCTACAAAGTTTCTTTTGAGAAATGAGCTGACAGTCTTATGGGAACTCCCCTGTAGGTAACTAACTGCTTTTCTCTTGCTGCTTTTAAGATTCTCCCTTTATCTTTAACCACTGGCATTTTAATTATGATGTGTCTTGGATTGGGCCTCTTTGCACCCATAATAGTTGGGACTCTTTGTGCTTCCTGGACTTGCATGTCTGTTTCCTTCACCAAAGTAGGGAAATTTTCTTTCATTATCTTTTTCAAATAGATTTCCAATTTCTTGCTCTTTCTCTTCTCCTTCTGGCACCCCCATGATGTGAATGGTGGGTCTCTTGAAGTTGTCCCAGAGGCTGCTTATATTATCCTCATTTTTTTTGGATTTTTTTTTCTTCATGTTCTAATTTTTGTTTTTTGCTTCCTTATGGTCTAATTCATTGATCTGATTTTCTACTTCATCCACTCTACTGTTGTTTCGCTGTAAATTGTTCCTTGTTTCAATTAGTGTGTCCTTCATTTCTGACTAGGTCTTTTTATGCTGTTGAGGTCCTCACTAAGTTCCTTGAGCATCTTTATAACCAGTGTTTTGAACTCAGCATCAGATAGATTGCTTATCTCCATTTTGTTTAGCTCTTTTTCTGGAGTTCTGATCTGTTTTTTCATGTGGGCCATGTATCTACGTGTCTTCATATTGGCAGCCTCCCTGTGTTGGTTTCTATGTATTAGTTAGAGCTGCTTTGATTCCCTGTCTTGGCCTAATGTAGTAGGTGTCTTGTAAGGCCCAGTGTCACAAGCTGGGCACTCAAGGTGCATCCTTTGTGTGGGCTGAGTACACTCTCCTCTTGTAGTTGAGCCTTGGTTGCTATTGGCAGATCAATGGGAGGGATTTACCCAGGCCAGTCAGCTGCAAGGACTGGTTGTAACCACTGGCAACCTACCTTCACCATCCATGGATGATCATCTGTGCGGGGACAGGGTGGTGCTCCAATGTGGCCTGTAACTGTCCACTGGATGCACTGGCTCTGGGGTGGTGCAGACCAAGGTCAGCCTCTACTTGAATTTTTCCTGGGGCCACCCTTCCTGAGCTATACAGCAATCTGAGATGGCTGCTACTTGTGCT